CATTGAACTTGCACTCCAAGTATTATGTCTTAGTCCTGCTCAACTTGAAACCTTTAGACTCCAGGGTCTATCTTCAAACCGCCAGCCTCTCATCGATACCACCTCGCATCTCATCAATCAGAACTATATCATCAGCAAATAACATACACTATGGCACCTCTCCTTGAATATTGTACGTCAGAGCGTCCATAACCAAGGCAGATAGGAAAAGACTGAGTGTAGATCCTTGGTGTAACCCCATAACCACAGGAAAATGCTTTGAGTCACCTCCCACTGTCCTAACCCGAGTCTTAGTTTCATCATACATGTCCTTAATCACCCTAATGTATGCTACCGGAACACTTTTAGCCTCCAAACACCTCCAAAGAACCTCTCTCGGGACCTTGTCGTACGCTTTCTCTAGGTCAATAAACACCATGTGTAAATCCTTCTTCCTATCCATATACTTTTCCAACAGACCTCCTGATAAGATGGATAGCTTACGTAGTTGAATGACCCAGCATGAACCCCAATTGGTTCTATGATATAAACACTGACATCCTCACCCTCACTTCCACCACCCTCTCCTACACTTTCATAGTATTACTAAGCAACTTGATACCCCTATAATTGTTATAATTCTGGATATTACCTTTGTTATTGTACAACGGAATCATCGTACTCCATCTCCATTCTTTTGGCATCTTCTTCATCCTAAAAATAACGTTAAACAATACGGTCAGCCACTCTACGCCCTTTGTACCCACATACCTCCAGAATTCAACCGGAATTTCATCTGGCCCAGTCGCTTTGCCCTTACTTATCTTATGCATAGCCCTCACGACCTCCTCGACCTTAATACGTCTACAATTCCTAAAATCACGGAGACTCTCGGTGTGCTCCAAATCACCCAAGACAATGTCTTTGTCCCCCTCCTCATTCAGAAGTTTATGAAAGTAAGTATGCCATCTCTGCTTAATCTGAGCCTCATCCATTAAACTTTATCGTCCTCGTCTTTGATGCACTTCACTTGATCAAGGTCACGTGCCTTTCCCTCTCTCGCCTTGGCCAGCCGAAATAACTTCTTGTCCCCACCTTTGTCCCCTAATTCTTCATACAAGTGACCAAATGTTGCATTCTTGGCCTCCGTGACCGCTAATTTTGCCTCCTTCATAGCCTTCTTTTACCCTTCTCTGTTCGCTTTTCTCTCCTCCTCATCTGAGCTCTACACTAACTTCAAGTATGCAACTTTCTTAGCCTCCACTTTTCCTTGAACCTCTTCATTCCACCACCAGTCCCCTCTGTGCCCCCCAGAGTAATCCTTCAAGACCCTTAACACCTCCTTCGCAGCCTCCCTAATATAGTTCGCCGCATTGTCCACATGCCACTCGTGTCCCCACTACTCCTTCAGGCCCCCATATCCATGAACTTCCTCTCCAACTCGTGTACTTTATCCTTAGACAAGGCTTCCCACCTGATCCCCGGACGACTCCTGATAACCCGCTTCATCATCTTTATTATGATGCCGACGTCCATCACCAAGAGTCTATGTTGTGACACGAAGGACTCACTCGGGATAACTTTGTAATCCTTGCATAGACCTTTATCACCTCTCCTGGGGAGGAGGTAATCAATCTAAGTTTTAGACACCGTACTTTAGAAAGTAACCAAATGCTCATCCCTCTTAGGAAAATTAGAGTTCGCTATCACCAACTCGAAAGCCTTAGCGAAATCCAACAAAGCAGCACCTCCTCCGTTGCTAGCCCCAAAGCCAAAACCACCATGAACCTCATCATAGCCCCCAACATTCGTCCCAATATGCCCATTAAAATCTCCTCCTATAAACAACTTCTTGGAAGGCGGAATACCACGCACAACCTCGTCTAGATCCTCCTAGAAGCGCCTCTTAACCTCCTCGTCTAAACCCACTTGGGTTGCGTACACGCTAATGACATTCAGAGTGAACTCTCCAACCACTAACTTAATATCCATTAATATATCATTTACCTACCTAACCTCAACCACCGATTCTCTAA